CATTAACCTATCATTTTTTTAAGAAAATTTTAAATAATTAATATCACATGCATCAAACAAGTTAGCATTATTGATTTTTTAAATTAGATTGTGAGATTGTGATAATAAACATATAAATATACATGCCTCCAATATAAGATTATCTAACCATACTTTAAGACCTTGTTTTGACCTCTTTATAATTACCGTCTAACCTCTTTATAATCACACACCTCAGGATAAAGGTTTGTGTGATTATAAAAAATTTTACTAAAATATGCTTATAAAGAGATTTTTTATATATATTTATAATAGTTAGTTTTAAAATGAATGTGCTTATAAAGAGAATTTTTATATGATGTGCTTATATAGAGGGTGACTATAGGGAGGTTTGACTGTACTTGTTTATTAATAATTCTAACTCTAAATCCTAACTTTAGTGCTAAAAAACTTGCTACCAAAAAATTTTTAATTTTTTTTAAAAAATAAAAAAATTTTATTTTAATTCTATTTCATTTTAATCTGTTATAGTAAATATTTATTTTGATAATAGCATTTAATTTATATAGGATAATAATTAATTTAATTTTTTAATATTACTTGTTTTTCTTGCTTGTATATTTTATTGTGCTTTCTATATCTTTGTATATTATTTTTTTTATGTTTTATTTTTTTATATTTTTAATAAAGTATAAAGGAGCCAAATTCTCAGTAAATTAAAAATTCAATATGAAGCAAATTGTTGCTAAGCAGATCACATCTGGGCTATAAGGTTAAATAAATCTTTATTAGCATAGAACTTAAATATAAAATGGTTTATTTGTTTGTTAATAATAATTTTTAATACTTTCAATAAAATAATAAAGACAGAACTACTAAATTAAAAAAAAATAAAATATTAAGTCTATAATATTTTTTTGTGAAAAATATAGATATAAAAACATTTGTGTCTAGAAATATTTAGAATTATTGATAGTTTTTATGAACAATTAAAAAGCAAGTTTATAGAAGAAATATTAAAGCCAGATTTGAATTAAAGGTATTTTTTTGATGCAGTTAATGTTCTTATTTACTATATATATAGATATCAAGATTATAATTTAAACAGTATATAAATTAATATATATTTACTTTATAAATAATCTATACTATTTTTAAAGCTAAAATAATATCTTTTTATTTTTATATTTTTCTTTTATTTTTTTTTATCTAGCAACTTTTACTTGTTAACAATTTACCAATTTAAAAACAGATTCGCATTATTTTACCAAAAATCACTTTACAGATAACTTATTTCACAGACAATTAATTTACAAAGTTATTTTACAAAAGATTAATTTGCAAACAATATATTTTACTGACAGCTCATTTCTCTAACAAGTTTTTTTTTTATTACACTAAATTTCTAATTAGGATTGTATTACAATCTTGCAATACATGTATTTTGCGTAAATCAAATTTCATGTAATTTTTTTATCGGTTTATATAAAGTACCAGCTTTACAAAAGTTTGGCCAGCATTATTGTATCATTTGACTTGACTCCTCAAATTACAAATTACATGAAAAATTGATTACAGAAACCTACTGCAAAGTTATATAAATTACGAAAATTACAGTAATTTAACCACCCTATTTCCAATTCTCATTAATTACGAAAAATTACGGTAATTTAACAACCCTATTTCTAATTCTAAACCTGATCCTAACATAAATGACCCGAATTACTTTGTTGGTGAGTGAAATAAATTGTCTGTGAAATGAATTTACTTATTTCCTCACCACTTCTGATTGGTTCTACTAATCGAAGTGTTATTAATCAATTTTATAGTTCTCCGATAGTGAAGTGGTGGGGGAAATTAGAGCACCTGTGAAATGAACTTGTTTGTTGGTGAAATAAGTTTGTCTGTAAATTAATTGTCGGTGAACTAAGTTGTCTATGAAGTGATTGTCGGTAAATTAATCAGAACCATAAAAAACTCAATAATCATTAAAAGGTATCATTTTACAGAAAATTTTTTTGCAGACATCTTATTTCATAAACAATCGATTTAGAGAATCAACCTATAGACAAGTTTATTTTAAAGACAATTAATTCATATTTCATAGACAGTTCATTTTACAGGTCATTTCATAGACAATCATTGACAGAAAATAACTCAATCTACTATATAGTTTGTTTTAGGTATGAAATAAACTGTCTATAAAATGAACTGTCTATGAAATGAACTGTCTATGAAATGAACTGTCTATAAAATGAACTGCTTGTAAATTAATTGTCTTTAAAACAAACTTGTCTATGAATTAATTGTCTATGAAATAAAATTGTCTATGAAATAAGACGTCTATAAAATGATTATCTATGAAGTGCCCGATAAATAGATATACTTCGGGAAATCCAAGCCAATTCATTAAATAAATCCAAACATTTAGTCAAAAGCCTTATTGGAGCGAAATTACGTACTTAAAATCGAAGGAATTTTTTATGATACGAACGACTGTTGTATCGCCATCGTCATAAGTTTTATCCGGGTGACCAATTAAATTCCGGGATAAGATAAAATATAGTATAAGTGACACCTACTTTAAATCAATTGATTATTTATTAAGGTGTCACCTAAATTTTATCCAAATTGCGCAATTTCTGTTACAAAATTTATGTAAATTTAACATTAATCTATATAACGTAAATAAAAACTAGCAAGGTGAAACAATTTCATCATTATCTGAGAAATTTGTGTAAATTTGAAATTTTAATTTTTACCATTATCTCTGACATTAATAAAATATTAAATTTACTGGTTAGTTCGTTTTTAACCGTAAGAAATTAATGCATTGTCAGAATCGTTCTATAATAATATAAGTTAGTGAAACAATTAATCTAACTTATCTCAAACGTTATAATTAAGTAAATTTAAAAAAAAGCAAACAAAAACTATTTTAAATAAAATATTAAATATATCTAAAGCTAAATCGAGTCAAAAATATACGTAGAATTTTTGTGAAACAACATTTTTAGTAAAATAAACAACCAATTAAACCAAACCTTTACTAGATCCAGACATTTAACGGAGTCTGTTTACCTAGCAGTCTAAATAGTATAAATTTTAATTAAATGTTATCAAATGAAAACTTGGAAATCTTAGCTATAAAAAATTCTAGATTTTATCTAGTTACACCTTAATTCTTAATATTCAATATTGATATATATAAAATCTAAATTATTAAGATAAACGTTAAAATAGATTAGGTCAGGATAAGGTTAAGGTTTAAGAGTTAGATGGGGTTGAATAGGTTTGGACGAGCTGGGGGGAAGGAATTTTATTTTATTGGAACTCAAAAGAAGGTTTCGTAAGCAACATTTCAATGACAGTGTAGATATGTACCTGCGACCTGTGGTTTAATGTACAAATAGAAATTGTCAAAATCAATATATACATAGCAAAAAGCAAGTTATATTAATTTTGTCATAAACATTATGCACAGCAATAACATGGTTTTGTCGCGTTAGTTTGTTCCCTGTATATGTATTAAATTATCACACTTATTTGCAGAACAGATAAATAAATTTATACTCGTTGACTTGAAAACCTGTATCTTATGCATTCACTTGACGGGATTCAATTTTTAATTAGCTCTATTTAATCTATTTTAATGCTAAATAAATCTATTAGAAATTGAATCCTGTTGGGGTGAAACATTTCCAACAGGTTTTCATTTTGGCTTTGGCTTCATTTTATTTACATTTTTTTTCGCTGAAGATGCTGAAGATCGAAACCAAGATCAGCCGTATTAGTAACAGTAAGATCTACAAGATCATTTTGAAACCATTGTTTTTATTTTATAGCATCACTGCGTATAGGGTTGTCTATATAAAACGTAATCATGACTTTTTATATCTAACAATAACTATTTTACCTTACATTTCAATTAAGATTTATTTATAATTTAGTACGTATTTATAGTAAAACTTCAAGAAAATGCATAGTCTTTATCATATACGCTAGTAAATGTCTTATTCTTTTTGAGAGAATAAACATCTTTTTCTTCGATCATTTTGTATAATAAACACGGAATCTAAATGTTATCACATATTTTTTATTACTGATATTAACCAATATTCTTTAATCTAATTGATCGATTGATCGATTGATCGAGATCTAAAAATAGAAAGTTATGTGTTCAAGGGATACTTTGACAAGTTCTATATTATATAATTTTCGTTAAATTATTTATTCTTTTACGATAAGTTATCTATGCTAAATATTCTTGTCGAGTAAGGTCATATGTCGTCCCACGAAAATATACTGCTACACGATTCATAATCAATTTTAATTTTAGATTTGTGAGAGGGGTTAATTTTTTAAAAATATTCCAACTAAGATTCTATCCTTCTAAATAAACAAGCCGAAAAAAGGCAGTTCTTTTATTTATTTATCGTAATCCATAATAATTCCATAATTAATTTAATTTTCTGAACATTTTAGTAAGCGGAGGTAAAAACGTATTGTTCTGGTTTTTATCTTTTAAGAAAGTATTAATTGTTTAAAGTATTCACAATAATTGTGAAACACAACAAGTATACCAAGGTTTGATCATTTGTTTTTTAATTATTCGTTACTAACTAATAATGTTTCATGTATGAAAATCGGAAATGGAAATTAATTGGTTCCAGTATGTGCATCTTTCAGGTAACACTCAAAGCGCTTCCATTATTGGGAACACGAAAAATATAAAGATCTTCCAATTGATTTGCATAGAGTTCCGGTAATTTTTGTTTTTTTTTTAAAAAAAAAAAAAACTTACCTCGCTGGATCGATGGTATCAATAGCTTAATCTATAATAATTGGCTGTGTACAATTGTTCACATCTATTTATAAAAGTAATAATATCCACATAGTTGTGAGAGCCTTTTTTTATGACTTCTTTTTTTTAGTTGACTTTAGAATGATTATTTAGTTTAGTCCCTTCTAGTGCTTTTACTTATTTAATTTTTTTGTTTTTGTTTGAAATTATTTTAAAAATGAGTTCACCAACACCGAAAGTAAATCATGTTAAAATTTATCCATGGTCTCAAAAAAAATTAAACAAATTTAATCCTTTTCCACGTAATGGTCACTCTGTGAGTGACCATGTGATAAGTAATGAACTATTCATTTTCGGTGGTTTTGTAAATGAAAAAGCTACAAATGAATTGTTTGTTGCTGATGTTAGTAAGTACGCGAGAAAGCATTAATTTTGTGTTCCTTTTTATATTTTCTCGTGATTTTAATTATTTAATCGTTAATTTATCGTTATTGTGCAGATGATCTTAATGTTACTCAAGTAACAACTGCTTCTGGTGACATTCCTCGGCCTCGAAGTCATCATAGCCAGATTACTTTTGAAAATAAGATTTTGGGCAAGTTAAACTACAATAGATGCCTATATTAATTATTAAATCATTAATCTAAATTTTCTTTTAGTATTTGGTGGCGGATCAGAAAGACCTGGAGATAAATTAGATGATAATATTTACATCTTTGATACTGGTAATATTAAATTACAATTATTTTATTCATAAAAAATAAAAAAATAAATAAATATGTATCTATAATTTTACTTCAATTTACATGTTAGAAACAAAATATTGGGCTAAACGTTCTTTAAAGGGACACCCACCTAGCGGTCTTATTGGTCATTCTGTTTCTTTAATTGGATCCGTTATTTATATATTTGGTGGTCAGAATGGTATAAAATATTTTAATGACATAGTAGCATTTGATATCAAAGTTCTAAAGTTACAACGTAAAAGAAGTAGATTGAGTAAATTTTCTTTAAATCGAGGTAAATATATTATTTTACTCTTTTTTTCAATAATGTAAATAATTGTATTAATCATCTAAAAATTTATTAATTAAATAGCTAGTATTTCTGGCTCTCATTGGAACTACATTACGCCAAATAGAAGTGATTATTCTGTTCCTTCATGCAGAAGTGGTCATACTGCTTGTGAATATAAAGAAAAAATTTATATGTATGTCGTTTATAAATTTATGAATATTTATTATAATTCTTTTTTCCCCTTAAAAAAAAAAAATAGATCGATAAATAAATAATAATAATAATTACTTATTATTTGTATTCCTCAGATTTGGTGGGTCAAATGGTGAAAAGTGTTTTAATGACACATGGTGTTATGATACATTGAGCGGTACTTGGTCTGAATTATCTTGTACTGGCTATGTCCCCGTACCACGTGAAAGACATGGGGCTGCTCTTGTCGCTGATGTCCTCTACATTTTTGGTGGAAGAACTCAAGATGGAGATGTATTGGGTGATTTGATTGCACTTAGACTTACAAGTTGGTTTTTTTTTTTACTTGTTATATATATATATATATATATATATTTCTTTTTTGTATATTTCTTGTTTGTTTAAAATCCTTACATGTTGATTAATTTAGATCAAAGATGGTATAAATTTCCAAAAATGGGTCCTGTAGCTAGTCCTCGATATGATCCTTCCATGGTTGTGGTTGATCAAGACAAGATTTTCGTTTTTGGTGGCGAATCAGATGGAACTATAAGACCTGACGCTGATGGAAATATCCATATATTAGACACATGTGAGTTTAGTTTATTTGCTTTATGCTGCTATTCGTAAGTTTTGTACTTTGCATATTAGAAAACTTGCTTATATAATGTCATTGATTACCATTTTCGCATTCAGCAAAAATAAAATTCCCTTCAGACTCCAACTCCCAAACCCCTAAGCAACAGACAGTTCATCGTAAACAATTATCGATTACACCACCGTTAAAAGCGTCAGTACAACCAAAAGAACAGTCTATCATGGAGGATTTAGAAGAAACCAGTTCATCTTTAAAATCATCAAATGCTTCGACACACTCAAAGCGACCTTCATTAGTTGAATCCTCTCCAGATTTAATACAAAGTCATTCTATTTCACAAAGGTCAACAAGTCTTAATCAATCAAATAATCAAGGTTCACTATCATCACAACCAACTACTCAATTATTTAATGAAACCTCGGGAGAAACATTACCATCATCTAAGGTTGAATCAATGTCACAACGACAGCCTCCTTTACCACAACCTATGACTGAAGTTCCTGAAAAAAATCCATCGATAATATTAAAGCAGCAATCTCTTGAAATTACTCGGCCCTTACAACCAAAGATTGAGAGCCATCGGATTCATCTTTCTCAACAACAAAGGCAATCTTATGATACATTTGGAAAAGCTAAATCCAAAGGACTCGGGATTACTGTTCCTGTAGAAAGTGCTAATTCAAAATCTCAGTTATTAGATGCAAATTTTTATCAGCATCCTCCAGTTCCCCCTCCAGTTGATTCTGATCTAAATAATTATGAAATGAATACAATTAATAAATATGGATCACCAAAGCAATCTCCAAATATAAATGAACTTAATCCTTCAGAAAATGAAACGCTTTCTTTAACACCTTTATCATCATCAGATACGTCAAAACCGTCTCGTTTTATGACTGAACAAATTCCTGCAAATTCTTTAGAGACAGACGTCCTTTCTAAAACAAATATTTCTGAAAATCAATTCACTGATTCTTATAAAGACGATTTATTTAAGGATTTTGATACTGTAAATAATTCAGTTGAAAATTCAAAAACGAATAATATAGGAAATACTATGCTTGAAAGTGAACAAAGTAAAAATATAGAAAACAAACCCGTATATGTTAGGCATGAGAAAGAAAATTCTCAATCTTCTACGAAATCGTTTATGTCTAATAATGAGACAAGTACTCAAACTCAAGATAATATTTATGTTGCTCGTGAAAGGAAAGAGAAACGTCCAATTGGTGCTAGACCTCTTGTTCAAAAACAATTCGTGCAAACTGACATTGAAAGTTCTACCATGCAAAACAATTATATAAATGGTGTCAATTCTCCTATTTCGGATCATATCGATAGTTCTGAAGAGATCGATGAAGATCGTAATACATCTCCATTACAAGAGGATCATTCTGATTTTCCAACATCATCAACTTTTGATATAAATAATATTGTATCTTCAAAATTAATGCTTGATAATGCATTACAAGAAGAACAACGTGTGAATCTAACACCACCAAATTCTGAGATATCAAATATTGTACCTTCAAATTTATCCGATAATGAAGTCTCTATTCCTATACCAACTCCCACTACTGGATCCACTTACGTATCTCCTGAAAATGATAATCTTGATCCCCAAACTTCTGGAGATGAACGAGATACTTATTTTAAAGAAGCCATCCAACGTGATCCAAGTGTTGTTGAATTTGAACAACGTGAACAGTGGTTCAATAATGAGTTGGACTCCGCAAAAAAATTAGGATATAATTTGGATTTGGATGACGATGAAAAAATGACTGATGAATTGGATTTTGAACAATTATCTAAACTTTTGGATCCCAAAAGTGAAAAGTACAAGATTATGCAATCTATTTATCACATGCAACAAAAGTTGAAAAAGGCAAAGGTTGGTTGGTTAATTCGTTGCATATTTTGAATTTTAGAAAAATTTTTTTTTTCAATGTTCAATTCATTTATTAATATGATTTATTGCATTCTTTATATATCAGGAAAATATAGCTAATCAAGCTTTAATTGCAACACAAAAAATTGCGGCAGCAGAACAAGCCCATGAAGCAGCCATTCAAGAAGCAGCTTATTATAAAAGTAAGATAGAAGGTTTAGTAAACAGCTTAGATCCAAAGTATCGATCATCTGAAGTTGAAAGAACTATGAAACTTGAGAAACAATTAACACAAGTTTTAAAAGAAAATATTCAACTTCAAAATCAATATGAAGAATATTATCAAAAATCCATTAATGAGAATTCATTTCAGGAACCTATTAAGCCACATGTAAATTT